GGGGAAAATCGACCGCCTACTCGTGGGACGTCGCAAACCTTCCTCTTATGGTGGTGATGGTTCAACTTGATGGCCTGTCACCTACCACTTGCCTCCCACACCCCCAGTCAACCCCCAAACACCAGGTGCACATGGGTGATTTAATCGGGCACTTACCTCTAGGCTCTGCAGTCCGGACACATCAAACAGACTATTGCTCCTGGACATGTTGGTGCCTGCCTCCTTGCGACCTGCTTGGTACTTGTTTAAGGTCAGAGTGGATTTGGATCTGGATACCGGCTTCAAAGGCGTCCGACTATCGCTGGAAAACGACCCCGATCGAGAAACAGCACTGGCTTGAGTGGCATGCTCCTTTGGAGCCTCGTCCACTGAATGCCTCTTCCAGACGGACTCTTCCAGGTGGGTTTTTCCCAAGTGCGTGCTGCTGCGGATAGTGTCATCCTCAAAAACCTTGATGTTTTGATGCTTAGGCACATCATAGGTGGAAATTTTGAAGTTTGGTAGCGTGTAATGCTGTGATTGGGACCTGGCCGGCTTCGGCGGATGCTTTGGCTTGTCTGGATCGATCTGGAACCCTCCCCGAGAGCTTGCAAAGGCTTCCGAACTCTTAGCGCTACTTTCTAAACTATCAGTCATCTTCAGGCTGGTAGCAAGCTCTCGGTTGTAGACCAGCGACTTTCGCTTCTCCAAGTGCTCCAGCGTGAGCGTGTTCAAGGGCTCCTCGCTAGTCTCACTCCTCACCGACTGGCTCTCTTCCAAGGACTTCAGCTTCTCGAAAAGTTCGGGAGAGGTGACGACTGAGTCTTTGAAGTCGCTTTCCGGGCCTACAATGGGGACTGGACTAGAATCCCGGAAAGCTCCGGGCGGCGATGGCAGCTGATACTGCCAGTCAACATCTACCAGCTCTGCTTCCAGTTTGATCAACTGTGGAGGCGGCGTGACTGGAAGGGGCGGCGCATCAGCTTCGATTTCATCCAACAGAGGTGGCGGGGGTGGCGTTTGGAAGCCCTCCTCTCGGTCCCCCTTGCCACTTAAGCGAGTTCCACTGTCAGCTGAATCCAAACTTTTCTCCTGCTGCTGCAAAGGAAGGGGGGGACTATCGCGGGGGGTTTGCTCAAGAGGCAAAGTTGCCGATGTTGCCGATTCTGAAAATGCAACAATCTTTGAGCAACTAGTTGACGATGGGATCCTAAAACGACATCGCATCCATCACCGCAAGACGTTGCAAGAGCGCTAATCTATTCTAGAACAAAGTACCAGAAATACTAGAGAAACAGATATTAGAGAAAGACATGCCTGGTTCGGGTGCGCCAGCCGGTTGGTTTCTGATACCAATTTGGTCCGGAGAGTTGGAGTTAAAAGGAAGCCGGCCCTCAAAGCTGTGGATTCCGAACAGCTGATTGAAAACTTCGGGCCGTTTCCTCGTGGACGCTTTGGATAGCGATCCGGCAAACATGTTCTCGTCCAAATCGGAAATCTCGTCCTCAAAGCTGGCGGAGCCTCTGGAGGATTTGCTGTTGAGGCTGGCAGTTTCCGGGTTGAACTTCTGCTCCAAGGACTTGCCGATTTGGAAGCAGCGCCTCTTTCCAAAGCTGTCGCTGTTAGCCGGAAGCCTTTTCTCCAGTTTGGGAGTCTTGGGGATTACCCCCACTATTGCCGGCGGCTTTGGGTCCTTGGACGACTCGTCCAAGATGCTTCCCATCAGCTGCAAGTCGGCCAAGGCCCTCTTGGGCGACTTGTCTGTGTTCATTATGAAAGGCTTCACTGCCTCCAGACTGGTCAGGATCTCCTCCATTGAATAGTCGTTCTTTGGCATGGAATTGATTGGAAACAGCTCCGGAGTCTCCAGCCGGAAGTTCAGTCTAGATTCTTTGGCAGCTGGCGATTTGGCCTCCGGCTGGTTTGACTCTGTATCCCCAAGCTCGAGCCTGGATACTTCTGAGGCTGAAGAAGGTGCAGGTTCACTCGCTTCCTCATGAGTTAGCTCTCCGGCATTTTCAGGTCTATCAATTGAAATTGTTGTGGGTGACTGAAGGTTGCTTTTGGCTCTGGAAACTTTGGTTCTCGGCTTTGGTATGGGTACGGGGTTAGTGGAAGGGTTTTCAGTAATATCCAGCACCACGGAAAATTCTAGCATGCAAAATACAAAGGCCAAATTAGTGTGCAAGGGCAAAACCAGCCCGATAAGCCATTAGAACGGTTAGTAAATGCAGTTCGGGTTAGTGTTAGTAGTCGAACGAAAATCCTGGTGAAACTGCTGGAAAAGGGGGCGAAACAGTTCAGACTTAGAGAAACTCGCTGCTTTTGCTCACGATGATGTTATCGAGCTTGCAGATGAACTGCTGCCAGTTTTCGTCGTCGGGGCGAAATCTGGAAAGGGATTTGGGTGGCTTGCGTGTTTTGCGAAGCCCGCTCAACTTCGCGCTCAAACAAGATCCTCCTGAGGGCTTTGCCAGTTGCCTGGAAGAGCCGAACTTCCTGCGTCCAGCCCTGGACGGGGACACTTGGTAAACGTCCAGAATCGGAGCTCGGAACTCTGGAATGTTATCAACTGAGCTCGGTTTGATGAGCTGCGGCCGCGCATCCAGCGCAATGTTGCTCAAGGACCTGAATGGTTTACAGGCAGCTAGTTTATCCTTGGGTTCGTCCACCGGAGCCCGGCAGGGGGGATTAAAGGCTCCTACACCCTCCAAGCTCTTTGAAGTTACTGCGCCCGACTTGGACTGGGGAGGGGGGGTAGGGCACGAATCGAGAGAAGGAGAAGTTTGCGGTTCAGACCGGTGAACCGCTGTGGACCCAGGCGGATCGGGGGCGCCTTCCTGAGCCTCCAAAGCCTCAAACTTCTCCTCGACATCAAACTGGCAAATTTCCTGCGCAACAATCATCAAGGTTTCTGAGCCGCGCCTCAATCCCTCCTGCACGAAACTGATATTCGCGTTCGCCTCGCGGTAGATCATGCCCAGCGTGGTGGCTTGAGGCGAGTACTGTCGAGTTTTCGGCAAAAAAGCGCATGCGAGCACCCGAAACTGTTGCGCCGCCCTTTTTCTCAGTTTCGCCACGCCGGTGTCCAAGCGTGCCCTTAAAATGGGCGGCGGAGGCTTACCTGACTGGGCGGAGTTATCGGATTGACTAGCTACTAAGGGACTTGGATTGGCTGATTGGGTGACTACTGAGCTGGCGGGCGATATTGCTGCGGGCGGTGGAGGAGGAGGAGCTGCCTTCTTTTTACGACCTGAAACAGGAATAAACATGTTTTTGGTTAGTTTCGCATATTGTCAGGGGAGGAGTGTGATAATGTAAAAAGCTTGTCTAGTAGGAACACGAGAAGAACTTGTGAAGAAGTTAAATGATTTCCTGGTTTCTAAACCGTTCTCTTGGGTATTTCGCCTCAAAATTTTTGGGCGATTTTTGGGGACAATTCCCTCACGTCCTCTATTGGAGATTAATCTAAAAAGGGCTCTTAATTTATTTAGTTTTAAATTGATCTTGTAATAGACAACATGAGGAACTTTTTGAGGCAAAAAGTGTTTAGTCGATTCCAGAAGTTTCAGAAAGGGCTAAATAGCAAATCGATAGACGTCCTCGGTTTTATGAAATCATATTTCATTAAACAAAAAAATTAATAGAATGTTTAAATTTGTATTAAAATTGTCCGGAATAGAAAATACTCGGTCCTTTGCGTAATTGTCTTTAGAACTAAAATTGATTTTAATAAGTATGTATGCATAAACTTTATTTACTCTTGTCTTTCGGTTTTGATGATAATTTACATTATATAATACACAGTTTTATATTTTCTAATTGTTTTTAATAAGTATCCATCTGTATCTAACAACATTGTTTCTAAAACAAGTAATATGGTTATTATAAAAATATCAAATATATTGTTTTTATTTATTCGAACCATTTGCCGAATAACTCGTTTCACGATTTTAAAAATATTTACATTCTTTTATGTGAAAATTATGCATAAATAACGAATAATTGTTTTCAACGTTATTTAATCCTGGTAAGGTATTATTTCTTTGTTCTATTAAAACCGGTTTTCTGAAAAAATTACTATTCGAAAACCGATTTTCTGAAATGTCGATTTTTGTATAAACCCTAATTGTGACCATGCGATATACAGGATGACCAAAAATCGCCATCTCAAAAAAAGCATCAAAGAAAAGATCACAGCTTTAATGTAAACCAAAAGATAAAATAAAAAATGCACAGCAAAATCATCAGAAAACGCGCAAAAGACTAGAAGATAACGTAAAATTTTTGCTCAAAGACGCGAAAAACGGATGTAAAAGTAGAATAACCTTCAGATTCAACCTTCTGAAGGTGGGACACACTGTATTAACTCCCATTAACCCACACAATGTTTTTATGGCATGGCTTACGGCGTACTTCTGATTAAGGATGTTAAATGGCTGAAACGCGTCGTTTCTTCAAACGCGCCAACAATCGTAAAAAGTGCCAAGTTGATGGCAGTGAAAGTATGAAGTTCCAATAAGGTGTGTTCGATCGGATGGTTGGAAATGTGCAAAATTTACCTAAAAAAGACCTACGAAACTGCCACACACTGAAATTCACCACACGGTTGATACGATACGAACTGAGCAGCAGAGAATCCGTGGACCAGTTTCAGACGTAACCCAAACCTACATCATTTTTTTCAACCCACATTTCAAATTCCTTCGGTTTAGTTGGTCAGTTATCGAATTAATGCAGATTCGCCGCGGCTTCCGCAATCAGACTATTGGCGATTTGAAAAATCGAAACCGTTCCGGGCGGTTATTTTATAAACTACACTAGGGATGGAACATCGATGGTAGCCATCGATGCTGACATCGAAAGGTAATATCGATGTTAGGAAAACATCGAAGGCAGAAAATCGATGTTCTGATAGTTTGCAGTTGCATACAAATTTCCAATTTATTAACTTAACTTTAATAATAATTTTATTTTACTACTACTATGACATTAAATACTCGAGTCAATTTATTCAACTTATAGTTGGCACATTTTTCGGTCAACTGACTGCAAAAAGAGGCTTTTTTCGGATGCAGCTGAAAATGGGCCGCTATGCCGCGGTATCGTCTGTATCGGAACTATCAAAGAGTTCGCAGAAAATGTTTCTATCTAGTATCAACATCAAATGTCCAATGTTTTCATTTCAGGGTCTAACATCGATGTTTCATCGATGTCCCAAATTTCCAAGATCGATTGTAAAAATATCGAACATCGAACTAATTACATCGATGTTGCCACATTTTTCGCTCAACTGACTGCAAAAAGAGGCCTTTTTCGGATGCAGCTGAAAATGGGCCGCTAAGCCGTGGTAGCGTTTGTATCGGCACTATCAAAGAGTTCGCAAAAAATGTTTCTATCTAGTACCAACATGAAATGTCCAATGTTTTCATTCCAGGGTCCAACATCGATGTTTCATCGATGTCCCAAATTTCCCAGATCGATTGTAAAAATATCGAACATCGAACTAATTACATCGATGTTGCCACATTTTTCGCTCAACTGACTGCAAAAAAGGGCTTTTTTCGGGTGCAGCTGAAAATTGGCCGCTATGCCGCGGTATCGTCTGTATCGGAACTATCAAAGAGTTCGCAGAAAATGTTTATATCTA